CAGGCAGTCCAGAAGATCTTGGATGACTGGGAGCCCCTCTGGTTGCGCTCCCACGCGGGCGACGACCACCCGTCGGAGTGGGAGGTCGAGGACGAACCCCTCCCCCCGGTCTCCCTGCAGGAGCTCAAGGACGTCTGCGCCAGGTACTCGGAGACAGCAGGGCTTGGCTGGGACGGGCTCAATCCGAGGGTCCTCCTGCAGCTGGGCGACGAGGCCCTTCAACGGGCCCTCGACATCATCATGTCCTTCGAGGAGCGCCCAGAAGCCTTGGAGGCGTTCCAGACCCTGATGATCTTCATAGCGAAAGCCGGAGGAGGGGTGCGGCCAATAGGGCTGCTGGCTCTTTTCCCCCGGCTGTGGTCCAGGCTGAGGCGGCCGCTCTGCGCGGCCTGGGAGCGGGAGCACGACGACCAGTTCTTCTGGGGCGGCTCCTCCCTGACCAGTTGCGAGTGGGCGGGGTGCACCCACAACCTGAAGGCAGCTTTCGCAAGGGAAGTCGGCTTCTCCTCGGTCACCGCGGGTGTCGACCTCCAGAAGTTCTATGAGAACGTCAGACTGCGGCTCCTCTACGAAGCCGCCAAGGAGCACGGCTTTCCGCTCAGGCTAGTTCGCGGTCTGTGCTGCATCTACGCTGGATGGCGCAGGGTGGTCTTCGAAGGCGGCGCCTCCCCGCCCTTCCAGGCAGCCGCAGCCATCATCGCCGGTTGCAGCGGCGCCACTACGTGGGCGCGCCTCCTGCTCATCGACCCCCTTCGGCGAGCCAGCGCAGCGGGACCGTGCGTTGCGATCCGCAACGCGGTTGATGACGTCCTCCTAAACGTCACCGGCACGAGAAAGCTGGTGGTTGAGCAAGCCGCGGCCGGCCTCAGCAGCCTGCTACAGGACTTCGGGCGGCTCGGGCTTCCCTTATCACCAGGCAAGAGCAAGTACCTTGCCTCTGACGCGGAGCTTGACGAGCAGCTGCAGCAGGCCTGGGCCTTTCCGGGCTCGTCGAGGGTCCTTGCGATGAAGGCCCTGGGCACCAACCACACGCTGGGGGCCAGGCGCTCGGTGGCGGCCTAGGCCACGAGGGAGGTCGAGGCACTCCGCCGCAGCAGGCGATACGGGACCCTTCGGCGCGGAGGCCTCGGCGATGCGGGCATGCTGCAGCGGATGGGGGCTTCCGCCTCGGCCCTGCGGGGTACAGCTACCGCTGGGCTGGCGGACGGGCCTCTCCACAGACTGCGAGTCAAGGCTGCGGCAGCGGCTGGGCGGCTGCCCACAGGCTGCGCGCTGGGCCTCCGCCTACACGCACACCGCCTCGGTCGGAAACTGGACCCTTTGGTGCTGCACTCGATGGACGTGTTGTACATGTGGGCGCTGGCAGCCTGGGAGCAGCAGGTGCACGGCCGTGTCTTGGAAGTCACCATGGCAGCGGCGCTGGCGCGGGCGCAGGGCAACCCCCGGCCTTGGCTCACGGCCCGCACGCCAGCGGACGCGGCCCTCCTCACGGCGAGGCGGATTGGCTGGGACTTCGAGGGCCCCCTGGTGATACGCACCGATGATGGCACTAGAATCGACCTGCTCAGGGTGGGCCCCCGCCAGGTCAAGGAGCAGGCCAAGAAGGCCGCGGTGCGCGCCTCGGACAAGCTAGCGTTCCAGGCCACGGGCAAGACTCTGGCCAGAGGAGTAGTGGGCCTGCCAAGCGGGCCCATCTTCTGGGAGCCGCTACACGCGCTCCTCCACAATGCGACCCCAGGATGGAGCAAGCGGCACCAGGGTGCACTGAAGGCCCTGGTCACGAACGTCCACTGGCCGCAGGCGCGTCTCTTCGCACGTGGCCTGGTCAGCACCGCGCGGTGCCAGCTGTGTGGCGAGCAGCTGGGCAGCCTCTTCCACAGGCACTACGAGTGCCCCTGCCACGCAGCCCGCCGCCGAGAGGGCGCGTCGGTCAGCCTGCGGGCCCGAGCTGCCCGGGTGAGGAGGTGGAGCCTGGAGGCGGCGGAGCGGTTCTGCCGCGGGCTCTTCCCCAGCCCCAGCTGCCTGTTCGAACGGGTGGGCAGGAAGGGGGACATCTGCTGGGTAAACAGACCTAGCACAGGGCTGCTCACGGGGTGCCTCTTCCTGGACGGGAGCGCCTTTGCTGGGTCCCTCCCAGGGCTCGAGCATGCCGGCTGGTCGGTGGTCCAAGTCGACCGTTTCGGCCACCTGGAGGCGGCTGCGTACGGCCCAGTGCCCTTGTCGGACGCGCCCAACCAAACTGCTCCCGACGCAGAGGATTACGCGGTCCACATGCTGTCGCAGGTGGCGATGGCGCCCTTCCAGCTGTACCTCGACTGCGCCAACACACTGCGCACCCTCGGAGGCGGCGCCGGCGCCGGTACTCGTGGGGTGGACCCGCGCCCCCACCTCTGGGGGCCATTCTGGGCCTCCTTCACGGAGGGCGACTTCGAGGCCCACAAGACGCTGGGTCATGCATCAAGCGGCGACATCGACGCGGGCCGCAGCACGCACTGGGAGCGGCGGGCCAACGACCACGCCGACTCTTTCGCCAAGCGGGGCGCCGCCAGGCATGCGCTCGGCGAGCCAGACGAGGCCCTATGGCGAGGGCTGCGGGAGCTGGCGAAGGAGGCATGCCGCTGGAGCGCCACCCTGGAGGCCGAGCTGGGGGACGGGCAGCGACTGGACCACGAGGACCGGGGGGCCCCCAACCGTCCACCCTCCCCGGGACCCCTCCCGGGGCCCCCGCAAGTGGCGAGGGGCATGGGGGAGAGGTGTGGTGGAGCGCCCAAAAGGCAGCGTGTTGGGGCCCGCTGCCGTCCATATAGCGCCCGTTAGGGTTAGCTTGGGCGTTTCAGATGGCCTCCAGACGACGTCAAGAGCGCCTTAAGAGGTGCCCGAGAGGGCTCCACGAGGGCTCCAAGACGGACCCAATTAGGATCACCCGGAAGGCCTCTGCCGGGTGATCCTAGTTGGGGCTCTCTTGGGGCCCTCTCGAGGCCTTTTGGGGCCGCAGCTGGCCGTAAAGAGAGGCCAAGATGGCCTCCAGACGCCTCCAAAAGGGCCTGAAGAGGCCTCCAAGAGGGCTCCAAGAGGGCCGAAGATGGCCCCAATATGGCCCAACATGGCCCTAAGATCGCCTCGAGACGCCTCCACGAGGGGCCTCAAGAGTGTCCCAAGAGGGCCCCAAAACTAGTAGCAGTAGCAGTAGCAGTAGCAGTAGTAGACGGTAATGTCTGGAGTTGGGGAGCTAACCTACTCATGCTCCCAAGTGCAAGCTAGCGTGTCCCAGTCGCGTGGCGATGAGAGGCCTGCCGAGGCTGCTACTCATGCTGGCGCTATGCCGATGCTCCCCTGTCCCACGTAAAATGGGGGCAATGTTTGTACCATTTCTGCCCCCCCTTCTGAAGGGGGGCGTGAAAGGGGGGGGGACCTGCCCAAGATGGGGGGCCGCGGCATGAGGATGTGCTCCACGGACACGCCCAACTCAGCGAGGGCGCTGCCCCTGCAGCCGCCGCGGACGGCGACGTCGTGCGTGAAGCTCCCGTCAGGGAGAGCCAGGCAGAGGCTGGTCGGGAAGAGCGGCCTGGGCAAGGGGACGAGGAGGCGGCGAGAGGCGAAGAAAAGGAGGAGGCAGCGGCGGCCGCTGCTGCAGCTCCGGGGGATGCCATTCCCCCCTCGGCTGCCGGAGGCACTCCTTTTGCCCCAGCCCCAGGGGCGGTGGCAGGCCCGTCCAGGTGGGGCGTGCCGCTCGCGCCGGAAGCGGCGGCGGCCCCAGTTGATACCAAGCATGGGGCAGCCTCCCAGGGCTCAGACGCCTTCGGCTTCGGCGTCGACGACTTCAGCGAGGAGATGGCCCTTGCAAAGGAGCAGCCCCCCGAGAATGCATGCGAGGGCAGCGGGCCGGTCGGCGACGCGGGTCCTGCAGGCCCAGCCGGAGGCGCGGCTGCCAGTCCCCAAAGCCAGGAGGGACGCGTCCCAGGGCACGTGGAGCTGCACTTTGGCCTCGACGACCAGGTCCTGGCCAGGCACGCGTGGAGGGCTAGAGGGCACGCTCTCCTGCGCTGCCGAGTGGCGGAAAACCCCCAGATGCGCTTCGTGTTCTGCCTGCGGTGCGGCGGGGTTTTGGCGGGCCGCAAGCCCGGCAAGCTGCTCAAGAACTTGTGCCGAGGGCGGGAGTCCAGCGCAGGCAAAGAGCAGCTACGGCTGGTGCGCCTGTTGCGCTGGCCCCACTACGGCAAGGGGAGACAAGGTGGAGCGCTCGAGGGGCCCTTTGCCCTAGGGCCCGAGGAGCAGCTGCAGCTCGCAGGCGACCTCCAGCTGGAAGGGGACCTGCCCGCGGCAGCGAGCGGCGGGCGTCGCGCTGCTGCTGGCGACGAGCGCCTTCCCGCCACGCCGGCGGATGCGCCAGGGCCCCAGGGCAGGCGGCCCGAGCCGAGGGCGGCGCGTCTCTTCCTGCTCCGCTGCTACGGGCTCACGGAGGACGACCTCGAGGAGGTCCGCCGTGTCGGCCGCGAGGCGGCCCGCACCCAGGCTGCCGACGCCTCCGACATAGTCTCCGAGGAGGCGGAGCTCGTGGGCTAGAGGCCTGCTGAGGCGGCCCCGGCGCCAGCCCCTTGCCAGTGCCCTCCAAGGCAGCTGGACGAGGTAGGTCCAGCGAAAGCTATTTTAAGATGGGCGAGGCGGCGAGGGCCACCCCCATCGATCGTTTGACAGTGCGCAGCAGAACCAGTCGTCCGTCGGCCTGTCGGCCGCGCTTCGGCGCATGTACCCTTACCCTTACCCTTACCCTTACCCTTACCCTTTTTCTCCCCCTCCTCCTCCTCCTCCTTCTCCTCCCCCTCCTCCCCCTCCTCCCCCTCCTCCCCCTCCTCATCCTCCTTCTCCTTCTCCTTCTCCTTCTCCTCCTCCTCCTCCTCCTCCTCCTCCTCCTCCTCCTCCTCCTCCTCCCTCCTCCCCCCTCCGCCGCGAAACTCTGGTGGCCCTGGGGGGAGGGCCGGCCCCCCACGCTGCGCCGAGAGGCGGCCCGCACGCGTCCGCGGCGCTGGCGGCGGCGGCGCCTGCCGAGGAGACCCCCAAGGGGCGGCGGGCCGCGCAGGTCGGGGCGGGGCTACGGGCAAGCTCCTCCCAAATGGCGCGCGCGCGCCTCCAGCGCCGCCGAGCGCGAGCGGGCCTGAGGGCGGAGGGGGCGGAGGTCCGAGGTTCGTCGCGGCCAAGGGACGGACGGCCTAGTTCGGGGCACTCGAGAGGACATGAACCTCCTCCTCCCCTTCCTCCTTCTCCTCCCAAGGGCTGGAGTATATTCCCGGACAGGTCGTTGATCGGAGGGGGGAGATGCGACGCCAACACCACCAGGGGGGCCACCTCCAGCGTGGAGGTCCATTTGGCCCCCCCGATTTGGGGGTATATACGGAGTGTCTCGAGCGAGAGGGGGGACCACGCCGCCAGGGAGACCCCCCTTGCTCCTCGCATCTCTTCGCCCCTGTGGTGTTGGTCTCGCCGTTCCTTCTTCCTATTCTGGGAGCCAAGAGTCGGGGGCGGCCAAGAGGGGGGTGATGACCAGGGGCGTGTGGATATCATGGCGGGGCCATGGGATCTCCCCGGATGTGATGGCGCCTCTGCTTATTTCAATGCGTCCCCGCTGCCCCCCCCCTTGGGCCGCGCACTTGCCGCCGGCCATGATTTACGCCCCTCCCTTCTTTGACGCCCCCCTTTTGGCCGCCACCGAAAAAGGGCGTCGGAGCAGAAGCCGGCAGCGCAGGGTCCCTTAGCCCGGGAGCTCTTTATGGCGCCGCTCCAGGATCCCCGCAGCGAGTTGCTTGAAGTCGCAGCGTGATCCGGAAACGTTTTCCTACTCGTTCTCAATACGTTTGCCGCAAGCCTTTCAGCAGTTCCTTCGAAACACTTCGGCAGCTTCTGCAAGCTCCTGTCTCGGGGTTGCAAGCCCCCAAGACATTATTTCAAGCGTTATTGCAAGCGTCTCCCGCATGCTTTCACGCGTTCTGGACTGGTCCTTTATCCGGGACTTGGACGCCACAAGCTAGGTCGGAGGATCGCGCCGCATCAGCGATGTATCGAGGATGCGGATGTGGAGCCCGATCTTCTCCGCGCGGACGTCGCCGCTGCATCGCCGATGCATCAGCGACGCATCGCCGCCGCATCGGCGGTGCGGCGCGATCCTCCGACGACACCCAGTCGCAGCCCAGAATCGCAGGCCCAGAGATTGACACCAACACCAAGATCGGCGGTGTGCAGCTACCGAGGGAAGAAGATCCCGATCTCGGCGATGGTGGTAATATTCTGGCTTCCAAAGTGACCGAAATATTGCCACCAACACCGAAATCTAGGATCGTCTTCCCCTTGTGGAGGCAACCCCCTGTCTTGGTGTTGGTGCCCATTTCCAGGCCTCCAACAGAAACCTTTGCACCAGGAGGCCCAGACCCGTCCGCGGCGTGACGAGCGTGCCGCGGCAGCCGGTTTTTTCTCTCTCACGCTTTTCCCCTCGGCTTCCAGGGACCCTCGCTGGGCCCTGGGCCCGTTGGTCGCCAGAAGGCAGCTCCTGGGAAGTTGGATTCTCTATCGGCGCTGATAGTTCCGCGGTCGATAAACGGCTCAATCCGGTCTGAGCCACGCTGATTCGGCTGAATACCGCCTGGCTCAGTCCAGCTTAACCTGGGGCTGAATCCGGCCTACTCCAAATCCTTTAATTCATCGTCTCCCGGGTCCGGTTTTTCAGAGCGCCTTTTTGGTAACGGGGGGTTCCGGTTTATTGGGCGCTTTCTTTGGATTGGAGCTTAGGGGGTCCGGTTTTTCAAGGCGCCCCGTCGAAGAGGGGGGTACGGAATATTAGGTCGCATTTGGAGGGGGGTCCGGTTTTTCAGGGGGGGTCGATTTATAAGAGTTTTTGGAGGCAGCGAAGTGGCTCCTTCATCGGGCCTCTTTCGCCCCAAATCGCTTCAGCGAAAGACTCTCAGGAGTTGCCTTCCAGGAGCTGCCACACAACCGATCCGTGATGATGACGGACGGACCGGTCTAGCACAGGGGTCTAGAAATCGGGGTCCGCGTCGCGAGAAGCAGAACGGCGTCGAATCTGGGTGGTAGGTGGGATGTGGATGGTTTCTCCGAAGGGCTTAGGCGACCCGTCGTCGTCGTCCTCCCCCTTCTCCTCCTCCTCTTCCTCCTCCACCACCTCCACCTCCTCCTCCTCCTCCTCCTCCTCCTCCTCCTCCTCCTCCTCCCCCTCCTCGGGTCGCCTACGGCCCCAGGGGAAACCGTGCAGTGGGGTGTGTGGGGAGGGGGGGCAAGCTCAGGTTAGATTCGTCGTATTTTTGGCGGCTGTTCGACTGGTTCTCGGAGCCTCGGGAGGCTCTCCAGCAGCTGCGCTTCGCCCAGAGCGTCCCAGGGGTGCCGGGGTCGTCACCAGTGTCGGCCGCTGGGGGGCAGCCGAGTTGTGACCCGAGAGCCAGAGGGCAACGGCAGCAGGAGAGTGAGGTGCGAGTGGGTGAAGGGAGCGTGGACGGATGGTGGTGAGGACCAGGAGGGGGAGGAGGATGGCTTGAGGAGGACATGGGAGAGGGCTAACCTCGGAGGTGGGCGAATATAGACAACGATGCGGTAGTTGGCCTGTAGGGGCGGGAGGGCTCGTCGCCACGACTGCGCCTCGGGAGGGGTCCAGGACCGATATGGAGAACTCAGTGCGAGGACATGCACGGGGGGGGGGAGGAGGGCTTGGAGGGGGAGGATGATGTGATAAGGCTTCAGGTTGCGCCCAGGCAGCCCCCCAGGTGGTCTCGGCTGGCCTCAACAGGCCCCCGAGGTAGTCCCAGCTGACCTCAACAGGCCCCCCCGAGTAGTCCAGGGCTACTCGGGGAACCGTTGAGGCCAGCTCGGATTGCTCGGGAGGCCTGTTGAGGCCAGCAAGGAAGGAGTACACAGGCGGACTACCTGTGCGCAGCCCGAGGCCTTCCCAGGAGGATACGGCCAGGAACGCTGGTCCAGCATGTCGCGCTGCCGCTTCGGCGCGACTCGCTGGCCACGTCCCCATTTCCAGGCGGCAACTTTCCGAGCCTTATCCCCGTCCTCCGCCCCGCGGAGTAGAGCGTCGCGCCATCCGCTCTCAGCCCATAGCGTGTCGCCTGGGCTGGCACCCTGACCACTCCAGGTCAAACGCCCGGGCCTCGTCGAAAGTGTGAATTTTACCGAATATTCGAAGGCTCGCGCGTCCCCACCAGCCCATTCCGAGACGACACCAGGCGAAGTTCCCTGATCCTTGATTTTTGGGTGCAGTCCAATAAAATAGGTATGTTAGCCATCAGACGCAGTGGAACTGCTGGAGCTGCCATCGAAGGAGGAGGACGATGCGAACAAGAAAGGGGACCAAGACCAGGAGTGAGAAACGCTGAGGAGAACTTCAGGCCACACTTCGTCGATGGTCTCGAAAGGCAAGTGGCCACATAGTGTTGCGATCCCCGGCCCTACCACTAAGCATGTGGCTAGGCTTCAGTCGGGCGTGTCCCTCTACAGGAGGTATATTCAAACATAGTAAAAACATAGTCTGGGGACTGTTTTTCTTTGATTTTCGGTATGTTTGAGCATTTGTTGAATATTTTTATTCCTCGTCCGAAACCTACATGTACGAGGACACGACCGACCTACAGCTAGGCCGAAACATTCAAAGTCAGGTCCCCGCGTGGGGCATGGCCCGGCAAATCGAAGCCCTCGATGGGGAGGGGCCTCGCTGGAGGGAAACACCCCCCCCGCTGGCCCCAAAGGCGCGCACACCTGGAGCGCGCAGAGCCGCGCGGGGCTGCCCGCGGGCACCATCAAGTCAGTTAACGCTGTCTCGTTGTCCTCCTCCTCGTCCTCACCCTCGTCCTCCTCTTCCTTCTCCTAGTCCTCCTCCTCCTCCTTCTCCTCCTCCTCGTTGTCGACACAAGCAACTCCCGCCTGCGCGTTCGTCATCGTCTGCCTGCTCCTTCCCTCCTCTTCCCCCTCCGCCGGGCAGCATCGCCTGACCGGGACCAGCGTGGCGGCACGTAGGGCTCTATATCGGCGCACGACCCTGTTGTTTTGCTCGTCGTGTCGGCGTTCCGTTGTTTCGTTGCCGGCGGAGGAGGACGCTTCCATGCGGTGGGACATTGTACAAGGTCGGGAGCTTCTTTTCCGCGGTCCACTGCTGCACCTTGACGAACGAAAGTGACGAATTCTCAGGGGCATCGATAGGGGGGGATACGCATAGGGGGGAACGCATGGACCCCCCAGTCGCCCATTGATGGCCTATAGAGGCCCGATAGCCCCAACCTGCACAGGAAGGCGCGGATTCACTATCGGGGGCCTATCTCCGATCTATCGGCGATGTATCGCCGTTTCTAGGTCGATGCATCCCCCTATGCCAGTCCCCCCCTATCGTCGCCCCTCGAATTCATGGGCCCCCGAACCGAAAGCCTGGGCCCCACTCCCCTCACGTCGGTGGAGACGATCCTGGCTTCGGCTCCATCGGCTGGCAGCGGCAGGCGTTCTCTCCTCCTCCTCCTCCTCCTCCTCCTGCTCCTCCTGCTCCTCCTCTGTAGCCATGTTGGCTCAAGCTGCTCCTCCCTTCCTCCTCGCGCGCGCGGGTCGATGGCGACGGGGGTGCGCTTCGGCGGAATGGCTCTACGGGAGGCTGCGAGTGTTGCGCAGCCATCGCGGTCAGCTGCCGACAGAAAGGCGTGTCGGCAGTGGGCCAAGCGGTCGGCCGACCGCGCCATCGCGAATTTTTCCAGGGATTTGGACCAGACGCGGGAACAGCTGCAGCTGGCGCCTTGGCCGCGCTCGTGGGCGACCCGGAGCTCGCCGATCACCTCTGCAGAATTCTCCCAGCGCTGCAAGCCTTGGTCGCCGGCCGCCAGCCCGTGTGGCTGGACAGACTGCGCCACAACGTCGCCTTGCACGCGGTGGCCGCTGACCTGAGGAGGATCTCGTCCGCCAGCGCTGGGGAATTACGGCGTGCTCAAGGTGAAACCAGGCTCGAGTCGCGGCAGCTGGAAAAGGTCCACCTTGGCGAGCCTGGCTTCCAATTCAGCGCTGGCGCCTAGCCATTCTCTACTGATTTTGGATGGGGTGCCGAGCTGGAGGAGAGCCTCACGCAGCTGATCGAGGTAGTCGAGCCCCTGCTGGTCTCTCCGCAGCAGTCCCCGCAGGAGGCAGTGCAGCAGGTGGGCGCCGTGCCTGCCGCTGCTTTGGTGGCGCAGCAGCCCGACGGGGACATCGAGGAGCCCCTCGGCTCGTCGGGCGACTTCGACGTGCTGCTGGCCGGGCTGCAGACGCAGCATGTGCAGTCCGACCTTCGCGGGCATGCGTGCGCTTTGGAGATCGACGTTGCTGCGGCGTCGGGTGTCTCGGAGGAGGTCTGCGAGCTCGATGACGACGACGGCGGCGAGCTCGACGAGGGCAGATCGCGCTTGGAGCTGGACGCCATGTCAGATAGCGAGCTCGAGACCGACTTCGAGGCGGAGTGCACTGTGCCGCTGGAGGGGCTCCACGTGCAGAGCTTTCGGGCCTTTGCGGGGGATGACTGCCCTGCTGATGGCGATCGGGGTGCAGTGCATCCTGGGGGAGCCGCGAAGGCAGACCCGAAGGCGCAGCGCTGGGCGACGGCGCTGGCGAGAGCGAAGCTGGAGCCCCACGAAAAGGTGGAGGCGAAGCTGCATCCCGACGTCAGCTTCTGCACGGAGCTGCGAACGGTGAAGCTGGAGTCCACCGAGAAGTTGAAGGCGCAGCTGGAATCGAACATCTGACCGTCGCCGGAGATCAGAGCGCATTGCGCCCTACGGGGAGCCGCGCAGGCAGACCCCGAAGCGGAAGCGGCCTGCGAGCGCGAAGTTGGAGTCCCACGAAACGGGGGATGCGAAGCTGGAGCCCGACGTCAGCTTCTGCACGGAGCTACGAACGGTGAAGCTGGAGTCCACCGAAAGGTAAATGGCGCAGCTGGGCTCGAACATCAGGCCGTTGCTGGAGATCGGGGTGCAGCGCATCCTGGGGGAGCCGTGGAGGCAGAACCCGAAGCGGAGGCGGAGATGACGATTGCCTTCCGTGCGGCGGTCGAGGAGGAGGACGACGCTGCGGAGTGTCTCCGCCGTTGCCAGGCTGCCTGCGTGGCCGCGGCGCGGGCGCTGGTGCGGCTGCAGGAGAACCTCGCGTCGCCTCCAGACGCCGCCGCGCGAGCCGCTGTAGCCCTCGATCAGGCCGCGCAGCAGGAGCGGAGGGCTGAGGAGCAGCACCGCTCGCAGAAGGCCCGTCCTTGGGAGATGGCCTGTGCGATGGTGCGCGCTGGAGTGCAAGCAGAGGCTGCCGTCGAGCGAGCCGTGGCGCAGAAACCGAGGGCCAGCCCACTCACTGATGCGGGTGCTCATAAAGGCGATTACGGGCAGATCGGCGCAGGCGGCCCTTCCCCCTCCCACCCCCCCTCCCCCGCTCTTTCCCGCACGGCCTCGGTGCTTGGTCAGAAGGTCCAGAAAGTCCTCCTCCTCCTCCTCCTCCTCCTCCTCCTCCTCCTCCTCCTCCCTCTCCTCCTCCTCCTCCTCCTCCTCCTCCTCCTCCTCCCTCTCCTCCTCTTCCTCCTCCTCCTGCTCCTCTTCCTCCTCCTCCTCCTCCTCCTCCTCCTTCTCCTCCTCCTCTCCCTCTGTTCGCCGTCTCTGTGTGGCCAGCTTGGTTCTGCACTCCTCCATGATGGGTTTCTGTTCCGCCAGGTCATTCGCCGACGTTCCGATTGCCTTGCCGATGAGCGAACATACTTTTTTGAGGAGCTCACGCTTGTGCTGTTCCCATTGGGCAATCTCCTCCGAGCTGAGGTCGCACTCTTCAAGCTTGAAGCTGTCGCCATCGTCGAAGGCGATGACGTTCTCGGTGTCTTCGTCCTGCTTGATCGCCAGGAGGCTGGACAGGTTGATCTTAGCTTTGGTGGGCTGGGTGTCCTCCGCCTCCGGTGTGGCCACCAGCGACTGTTTGAGTAGTTGTTGGTGGTGTCGTTGTTTTGCTTCAGCTGCTGCCTTCGCTCTCGCCGTGCATTCAGCTGTTGTTTTGTTCAGCCACTCCTGACAGCTAGCCTGGTGCTTGACCGCTGCGTCCAGAGCTTTACGTGCCTTGCGCGCCTGGACGCCCGCACGGTGGAGATTTTGTTGTTGTTCAATGTCAGAGCGGAGCTTGCCTTTCTTGTCCTGCTTCGTGTTGCTCGCCTGATTGAACATCTTGGTGAGCGCCTTGAGGTGCTGTTGGCCTTCATTATCTGCTTCGGCGCCACCTGTCGGATGTCGTTGCGCCAGCGCTTTGAGGAGGTCTCCCGTTGAAGTCGCAAAAGGCGAGCTGACATCCAGCACTGGTGCACATTATTCCACTCAGTGGTCATGTTGTTGCCACAGAGAGCCCGGTGAGCCACGTTGCCATTCCCCTCGAGCCGAAGTCCCCTGCCACGGTGCCGGCTTGAGGAGCCCACTGCATTTCCAACACCTCGCGCGGGCTCTCCAGTTCCACTGCTAGGGGCAAGAAGAATGCGGGCAAGCAGCATAGCCCGGCTTGACCATCTGAGCGTGGTGTAAGCGGTGTCTGCGGCTTGCGCCGCCGTCGAAACGAAAATGTTCCTCAAGGAATTCACTGGGAAAAAACCTTTCGACCCTGATGGCCATGGGTTCGCAGGCGGGGGGGCAGCTCCCCCACGCCAAAACGCCAAGAACTGTGCCAAAGCATTACGGACTTGAGCCAAAATGGCTAGGGTCCTCCTCCTCTTCCTCCTCCTCCTCCTGCTCCTCCTCCTCCTCCTCTTCCTCCCGCTCCTCCTCCTGCTCCTCCTGCTCCTCCTCCTCCTCCTCCTCCTCCTCCTTCTCATCCTTCCTCTCCTCCTCCTGTTTCTCCCCTTTCTCCTCCTCTCCTCCTCCTCCTCCTCCTCCTCCTCCTCCTCCTCCTTTCCTCCTCCTCCTCCTCCTCCTTTCCTCCTCCTCCTCCTCCTCCTCCTCCTCCTTCTCCTCGTCACCGACGCCCCGGCACCCGCCCACCTTTGGGGCGAGTGGCCACTGGGGCCTGGTGGCGTGTGAGGTGTCCGCGACAACTAGAGCACTAAATTATTTCCCTGGGAGCCCAACGCCTCTAGGACGCCGGGGGGCTCCCAGGGGTACCGCAACACACACGAATTCAAACCAAACTGCTGCAGCAGGGGCTGCCCGGCGAGGAAATGGGAGGGGAAAGGGAAGGGGCCGGGGAGCGGGGGCCGTTGCGGTGGGCGGGCGGGCAGTCGGGGTGGCCGCGGAAGCCGTGGTCGTGGTGGTCGAGCTGGTAGTGGTCGAGCTGCTGGTGGTCGTGGTGGTCGTGGTGGTCGTGGTGGACCTGGATAGATGGAGTGCTGCAAGGATTTGTTATGTGACACCGCCGTGCAAGGATCGAGTGCCCTCCAGGCAGTCCTGTTGCGTGAGCTCGGTCATGAGGTCGCTCGTGCGCTCGGGCTCTGCTCCGTGGGCGCCCACTGGGACCTCACGCGCTTCTTTGATAATGTCGACTCTCACTAGAAGATTGAGCTTACTGCTAAGATGGATTATCCTCTCCATCTCCTTAATTGGGCATGGTATGTATTTGACATCATGAACAGTGGTAAAGGTATACTTGCAAGGCGTATGCGGGCCATGGTTTGGGTCAAAGTATAGATGTACGATATCCTTGACCGTGCTGATGTTCGCTTCTTCCACAACATTCAATCTTGATTGGGATGAGGGGGAACGCGGGCAGGGGGATTGTCTTGTGCTGCATTTGCTCTCTCATTGCTTCCACTTCGCGCTCATCTGTTTTTTGTTTAGCCGGGGTACGGAACAATTTTCACAACGAATCAAACACAACACATGAAAGATGAATCTATTGTGGGGTCCATGTTGTTCGTGTCTCGCCTCCGCCTCCCCCGTTTCTTGCTGATACACGTCTACGTTGAATTGGATACGAATTTGGGGTGTCGCGGTTAAGTAAAAGCAGACACATAACCACGTGCGCCATGCCACGGCGAAGTGTCCGAGGCTCCCCAACAGCAGGTGGCCGCGGCGCTGGCATGGTCGTCAGTAAGCTCGGACTGGCAACTGAGATGGCGCCGCAGTCCGTCCTGGAGTACGTCTTCCCGCCGGAAGGGAAGACTGCCGATCTCACGCTCCGCCTGCACGCCCAGCTCACAGCCTCCCAGCTCGCGGCCCAGGAGGCGTCGGCACGGGGTGTTTCCGGTGCGAAAAACGTATAGAAAACAGTCCGCAAAGAAAACAGGAGGGACAAGAAACGTCCTGTGTCATCCGACAGCACCACTGCGGACGACAAAGACTTCGACGCCGCGGCGCGTCTGAGTTTATACGGGCTGCCAGGCGCGAATCACGTTACATGTCTCCCCACGCCGCCCTGCGCACTTTGACAGCCAAGGCGAGGAAGGCCGCCCGAGGGAAACGCCCTTTCGTAGCGAACGGCTCCGCAGCGAGGTGGGCCCGTCAGTGGATGGGTGATAAGCACAAACCTCAGAGGAACGTGGACATCACTCATGCCCAGTGGACCGCCCTGTTGTGGTCGAGGGCGCTCAGCCAGCTGACGGTCCAGGCGCATTCCGGCGCCGAGGCCGTCAGCGTGCAGGCGCTGCTCACGGAGTTCCTGGGCGCCGACAGGCTCGCAGTCCAGGGGCCTGGCCGGGTCGCGGCAGAGTGCGACAGGTCCCTCTGGGACGACATGTCGGAGCGGGCCCTCAGGAAGGACAGGAGTAACATCCCCGAGGCCATTTTCATGGCCGCGAACGAGAATAAGCTCTCCTGGGCGCGCGAGGCAGCGAAGCACGCTGTGGAGGCGCGCCCGCAGCAGCAGCCACCGTGGAGGGCTGCGCCCAGCAGCAAAATCGCCAGCGAGGGGGCGCACAAGCAAAAGGGGGGCCCGTGCCCGCCGGCCCCTCCTGCCCCGGGCAAGGGCAAGGGCAAAGGCTGGTGAGTGTCGTCTGCCTTCGATTGGAATATTGCTGATGAGAGTGATGGGGTGTCTTCGGATTGCTTGTTGCTTGACAGCGGGTCTGCTGGTTGGGACGCAGCCGTCGACGCGCTGGAACGCTGGGAGGAAGGAGCTGCATTGACCCACATGCTGGATGCCCGCGGCAGTTTGGAATTCCATGAGTTCATGGAGTGGCGCCCGGACCAGCATGCGTCCGCTGGGCAAAGGGGCGCCCTTGCAGCTCTCGCGCGGGACCCGCGCGCGGCCTTTGAAAGAATGGAGGCAGCGCTGCAGCACTGGAGGAACCAAAAGGAGCGGCATGGCAATGCGTTGCAGCAGTGGAGAGAGACCTTGCCCCTGAACCAAAAACATGTAGTTGGTAAAGTGGACCCCTTCATGATTAGGAAGATGTTGGTTGCGTCTGGGCATGCTGACACTACGTACGTCGACGATTTGTTGCGTGGCTTCCCTCTAACCGAAACGCTGCGCGCCGGCGGTCTTGGGGTTGACGTCCAGGGCGGCGTCCGTAGCCGAGGTCGACCAGGGCTCGGCGGCGGCGCGCTTTTGTCCGATTTGAAGCAGCGCTGTGCCGAGATCAGTGCCCGGACTTTCGGCCGCGCCCAGCGCCGGGCCAGTTCTGCAGGTCATGACCGGGCCCTCGTGGCCGAAATCTGGGCGCAAACCATGAAGGGCGTAGATGAAGGCAGAGCTGGGCCACCAGTGCCTTTGGATCGAACGTATATGGGCGACATTTTGCTGGTCGTATTCGGCACATGGGAGCAGCACGGAGAGGCGGCCTCGCCGAAAGTGAGGAGCATCAGGAAGTTCAGGACCAACGGCGTGAACGAGTGCGCTTTCATGCCCCGGAGATTTCGGTGCGATGATCCCCATCAGATGGTCGCCGCGCTCCGCCTGCTCTCAGAGAGCCACGACAACGCAGCCCCGGCAATGGGGAAGGCAGATTTCAGCTCTGCCTTCAAGAGGCCCCCGCCCGGCTCGCAACATGAGTGGCTCTGATGGGCCCCTGTGTCGGAGCCGGACGCGGGGGACTGGATGGCCGCGCCGCTGTGGACGCACGTTTTCGGGAATCTAGCGAGGCGCAGCAGGTGGGATCCTCGCGAAGCTGGCGCCGGCTGCTCTGAATATTCCGCGCCAACTTTCAAGCATGGGTTGCTCTATCTCTGAGAAGTCTGCTTTTGCATGTAGTCATGCTGGCATGGGCCGTCTGCTTGCAGGCGTGTTTCAGTCTACAGGGTTGCCCATCAAATTACAGGAGGCATCCAGATATCTGGGGGCCATGACCTCGGCAGGCGAACGCGCGCGCTCTTTGAAGATGACGCAGAAATCGATCATTGGCCGCCAAGAAAGCTAACAAGGTGGCTTTCCTGAGCAAAATCGTCGGTAGTGGTCGGGGGTTGTATAGACCATGGGTCGTGTCTTGGAGTCGCCGGGCCTTTAGGCTTACCTTGGGGCACGTCCGAGCTGCGAGCGCCCGGGCGGCCGGGTGCTCTTGGCGGTGGGCCCCGGGGGCTTGCGCGACCACGGCCTTGGGTTCAGTGAGTCCTGCGAGGGATGGTCCCCAGTTTGGGCTTCGCTACGAGCAACTCGCCGCTTTCCAAAGAGGTTTTGTTTGTATCTTTTAAACAAAAAATAAAAAGAGAAACAATGGACATTTGATGCCGCTGGGGCGCTGCGGAACGTTATGACTGGTGGTTGTCGGACCGACGATAGGCTTCTTCAATCAGGGCGCGACTCTGCCAGCCGCGGCCTGTGCCATAGATGCGGGATTGCGCCCGAGACGGCCGCCCATCGGTTCTGGCAGAGTCGACGCAATGACGACCTGGTCGATTCCACGAATGGCCAATCAGATTCTCTGAAGACCGAAGCCTTCCATCCTGATGCCCCGTCCTCGTTCTGGCGCCGCGGCCTGCCTCCTCTCCGGGGCGCCGCCAGGCGTCTCCCTGACCCGCCCGCTTGGGTTTGGGGGAGGGGGGGCGGCGGGGCGGGGCCGAGATATGGGGGGGGGGGGGCGTGGGGGGGGGATGGTTCCTGCTGCAAGTATAGGAAAGATTGCGCCTCAGGCGCTGTGGGTGGTCAGTCGCCGACCAAGGTGCTACCCATATGTTTGACGGAGTAGCGCGCGACGCCCTCCCCGCTAAGGTGCAGACTGCTGGGCGCGCTGAATCACATGCCCTCGTCCAGCTGCTACTAAGAAGCTGGGGGGAGGGGGGGTGGCGCGGTTTTGTGCGACTGCCTGCCCGTGGTTCGCGGGTCACGTAAGGCGCCGATGCAAAAGTGCAAGTCTGCGCTGTTGGACCTCTGCAGATCCGAGCGCGAGACCCTGGGGGTCCGCAACGGGTCTGTGGAATTTCGATCGGCCAACGGCCACGCCTCTCTTGCCCAGGAAGTCAATTCGCGCCTCACCCGTACCAAGCTATATCTTAACAGTAATGCTGATTGCGTTGCGACTAAGGCTGCTTAGTTGGCCCGGGTGTCTGTCGAACATGTCCACGCCGTTGAGATGGCGGACAATCGGGCGTTCGAGGTTCTCAGCCGCCTCCTCGCTGCCCAGAGGGAAGTCGTGCTTACTGGCGACCGCGACCCTGCTGCGATAGCCCCCAGGCGCCCGAAGTCCAAATTTTAAGCCGTGGGTTTTCGTTTCAGGAGGCCCTGTGAGATGGGGCACCTCTGCGCAGGGCGGCCTTGTGCGTTAGCGCGCAGCAGCTGCCACTTGACGTTCAGTAAGCGAGGGCCGTTCTGTGCATTCTGACCCGGCCCCTGCAAGCAATGGCCGGATATTGCCCAGCGATTCAAGCCCCCCCCCCCCCCCCGCACGCGCGCCCACCCGCCCGCCGTCTTGAGGTGCAGGGCCATATTTATCGCGAGAAGCTTCCGCTTGATGATCCGGGGGCGTTGGAGGGCGGACTGGGCGGGGGGTTGGGTCGCCCCTTGGCGGGCCAGCGCCGCGCGCCCCTCCGTCCGAGGGGTTTTGTTTTGTCAGGTGCACGGCGGGCGCTGCGCCGACTCTCCGCGAAGGTCGCGGCGCGAGCGCGCCCCCCCCCCCATCGCCGCCGCCGCCGCCGCCGCCGCGCACGCGCGCGCGCGCCCCGCCCCGCCGCCAAAGCTGGGAAGGAAGTGTTTCGCATATTGTCGTCAAGAGGGCTGCGCCCTAAGTCTGGAGGTGCTCGTCCTGGTCCGCGATTGCGCCGCTCGCGCCCCGCCTGCGCAGCAGGTAACCACGGCGCGCAGGTACGCAGGTAAACAGGCCCCCCTTCCTCCCCCCCCCTTCCCCCCCCCCCTGCAGCAGCCATCTGGGCCCGGGGGATCGTCGGGGCACCGACGCACTTATGCATCGCCATTGCACCGCACGTTCGCGCTGCGATGGATGACCACCCTCGCGCTGCTGCGCTGCAATCCGCTGACGGCCAGAGAGGGTCGACTCCAGGAGGTCCCCGAGGAAGCAGGCAATTTGGACGTCGTGGCCCTGACAGGCATTCAACGACTCCGACGGGGAACACAACCAGAACAACGAAGACTACAGCGCGCCAGCTACATCGATGCAGGGTGGCAGAGTGGCCTGCCCACCAACCGCAGCGCGGGCATCCTGGTGGCACTACAAGGCCGACTACGAGGAGCCGACGCACTCGCTGCGCACGCCCCGCCACCAGAACTCTGCGGACGAGGCGTCGCACTTGACATTGCGCACCACGCGCTTCGACTGACGGTCGTTGGGTACTACTTCCCACCCCAGCCGCGCACGAAGGAGGAGCAGAGACAATACTGTGCGACAGTGGCACGACTTCACGCGTGGATGGATACCATTGCGCAACAGCGCCCACCAGGAAGTTCACTATACTCAGAGGGCGACCTGAATGACGGGATTGGCATCGCGGCGAAAGGACATACGCCGCCGAGCACGGCTCTGGGTAGCACCGCACTAAAGAACGATTGCCAGGAGGCGCAGGACAGCGAGCGCGACAATACGCGGAGCGCCGCCAACTCTTGGCAACGTGCAGCACCCCGCCATGGCGCCCGACGTTCTCCGGCAGACACACAGCGAGCTGCATCGACGTCATGGTGATGACGTAGGAACTCTCTTGCAACGCCATCAGCCAGGGACCCCTACTCCGCATGGGCACCCGGCTACAACAGATCCCAAGCATTTACCACCGCGACCACGTACCAGCACAGGCAGCGATCACAGCGACGATGCGCAGACAACAGGTTCACAGATGAAAGCCAGCGAGACGGGACAATGATCTACTTGCTCAAGCGGCCCGACACGGGCAACTCCGCAACGAGTTCATAGAAGCGTTGGAGACCAGACTTGAGACGCACGACCCCACTAACAAGGGCATTGACCAGCTGTTCGCTGGCATCAACGCTATGGCTGCGCAGGCGGCGCACCCCATGTACGGACGAGGACCACCGTCCACGCCAGCTCATACAGACCTACGAGCACGCCGACTTGAACTACCCCGCCAGCGCAGAGCACTACGGGAACGACTCAGACGGGAGGGTGATGCACCGCGCATCGGGCCCTCAGGGGGATTTCAGATGAACACAGCGCCGATTGCCTAAGTTATGAGACCCCCACCGACTGCATGTGCGGCTAGTCGGTCTACACCGAGGGCACGTGTCACTACTGGGCCTCCACCAACAGACTGTGTTACTACTGGGTCACCGTCTACGGCCTGCATTGCCACAGGGACGTCACTTACGCATTGTGTTGCTACTGGGCATGCAGCGACGGATTGTGCTGCCACTGGGCATTCTCGTCGGACTTGTGTTGCTACTGAGCCTCCGCCAAGGACGTGGTGCGCCACTGGGTCTCCACCGACGGCCTGTGTTACCGCCGCCGGGGCGTCACCGACGGATTGTGTTGCCGCTGGGTCTTCGCCGAGGGACAGCGTTGCTACCGGGGCCCCATCGGCGGACCCAACAGAAGGAAGACTGCCCGATATCGAGAACCAACTGCGCCAGCTCACCAGGGAATGCGCGGCCATGCGCACGGTGGAGCACCAGAAGCTGGCGGGCGACGGAGTGGCAGAGTTGCACGATGCGCGGGGATGCAGGGGCCCAGCGAGAGCGGGAAGGATGACCAGACTCATGGCGGGAAGCAGGCACCGATCACGGCAACGTGACTACTGGATTACAAGTACAGCACAACACACGCGGAAAGCAAGGTTGGAGTTCTGGAAATTACCAGGCGGAGTTGGTGGATTGGAGGGGGCGGGTCATGACGACATTGGAGCAGATGCCAACCCGCGCAGAGGCGCAAGACTACGGTGAGAACGACTAAGAGGAGATAATCGGCCAGGACACCGAACGCATCATGCACAGCCTCTAGAGAGCAAAGCTACGACAAGCAGCGCCGCCCGCGGCGGCGCCTTGCGAATTATGGAGACTACTACGGGGGGACTACACACCACCACCACAACGACACCGAGGCTTGGGATCGCCAACCACGCGGACTACACCAGACCCTTCCAAGGGCGCATTTCGAGCGTCACTCGCTGCGATATTTCCCAGCAACAGCACTCCAGTACGCTGGCACCAGAGCACGGCAACAGCAGCCAAGAAGAACAGCAAACCAGGACAACCAGTCAATATAATCTACCACATCATGGACCCGATTGGCACCGCATACTCTCAGCCAGCATGCGACGTCAACATTCGCGAGTCCACACTGCCCATGACTATGGCTGCATGGCTTCATGCAGGACGGCGTCGGGAGGGAGCAATACTGACCATGGCAACAATGGAGTACCGAGCACGCAGAGCAGGCCGCAGCTTCATCACGGCACCGAAGGATATGTCGCACGCTCTCGCGAGCTGCTCGTGGATCCCGACGGGCGCCGCCAGCGGCAAGATCATGCCTGAGAGTGCTCGGGACTTGAGAACAGCGCTACAGGCGCGCGACTTTCCACATGCCATGCCGGGACAGACCGACGGGAGCATGCATCAAACCACACTGTGGAGGAATCATCGGCGACCCGCACATGGCGCGCAACTTCGCGGCCAGCTTCGCGCCGAGCATCCAACGATTGGTTCAAGATTGCCGCGACCACCTGGGCCATGACCGCAAACTCTACGGACGTTGTGAACTATGCCAACAGCCCATCTACGTGGGCCTCGCTGGCTAAGTGCGCCGACGACCTCCGCGACATCATCCTGGGCGGAATACACGCAGGCGCGCCGCGACTGGTGCAACAAGCGCGCCGAGTGGACGAGGACCTCAACGAACGACTGCAGAGCACCAGGATGCGTCAGAACCAGGACAAGCAGGATAACCTCGTCTATTTTCAGGGACAAGGCAAGCAACGAGCACACCACCAACTCAAGCACGACCCGCGATGCAGACTACCAGGACGGACGCTACCAACGGCGCGCAACTTAGGACCAGATCAGCACGAGGCAGACATACGCCGCATAACTTACACAACGCATCAGGGCCATGACGAAGAGCTACTACGAGGGCGGGGCCTTCTGGAGCAAAGCCAACATCCCTTACATATGGAAACGAGCGGTACTGATCTGCCGAGTAATCAATGTGGGATTATCCTGCATCGAGTGCTATCTACCAACGCCCAGCGAGTACACACAGCTCCAACACGCGATGGGGACACTACTGAGACGGGCTATGCGAGGCCGAGCCACCACCAGGCGCGAGGACGGTAGCGTGCGAGCCACTGGCAAATACTGCCACCAGTGGAGGAGGCTTTGGTGCGACGTCTGGGCTGGCTCAAGAAAATTATCCGGTTTCCGGGCAATCATCGTCAACTTCTCGTCGCGCTGTTCGGGGAGCTCGAATTCGAGAACACGGGGGGCCGAGAGGCGGGGGGCGAACTACGACACGGCACGAACCCGTGGGCCGAACGAGTCGTGGAGGACATTCGATACGCATGCGGGGCCCCGGAGAGTTTCTGCAACGCTTTCGGAGAGGCGGAACACGTGCGAGTCGGCCGACTCTTCGCCCTGGAGGGACGAGAACACCTGCATCTACTCGACGTGCGCGAGGTAGGAGCTGTTAAGCTAACGGCGGCGGTCCTTCCCCTTCAAATGGTGACCGAGACAGACGGACAACATGAAAAATTTGCATTAGAAGGAGACAAGCCATGGAAATGCGAACTGCACGACGGGGTCGGGGAATGCGGGCTTTTATTCGCAAGCAAGAAGGCACTGCGCAGTCACATCACACGGGCGCGCCCCATCGACAATTTGGCAGCAGCACTTTGAAGCGACAACGAGCGCATCAATTGCAAGCAGATATGCACATGCAAAGGCACAGCATGGAAGCGTCTAGCCAACGGCATGCTACGAGGAGGATGTAACACAGTTCGTCGGCAAACCAACATCCTGCACGACCACGCGCACCACAGTGTCCGTCCTGTAGTCATGTTGCTCTCGACCGAGATTGCTGCTACAGACGCCTGTGCACGCGCCTCCCTCGACCACTTGTGCCGCCGCCGCGCGATGTCCATATTCGACCAGGGGCCCCAGCCGACGGCGACGGCGCCAGGCCAGAGGGTGGGCCGCAGCCGACCACGACGAGGACAGCCAGGAGGACAGGCCGCGGCAGCTGCGGGAGGTGCCCACCAGCAGACGCTCGACATCACTGCGCGCTTCACGCTGACCTTGGCGCGCGAGCAGGCAGAGCTGGCGGCGGCCGTACTACTGACTTGGAAATCCCGACGACAGCAGGCATCGCTTCTACGGCGTTCGAGTCAGGGCGCAAGTACGACGAGGAGGCGCAGGCCCTGCTCCGGCGCGTGCGGAACGGCGAGCAGCTCGACACGGGCAGCCTCGGGAGTCCACGCGTCCGAGCGCGGACAGAAGTGCGCGCGCGCATGGGCAAGACACTCGAACACGGAGCCGCGAACAAAGAGGTAGAGAAATACTACACGGACGTGGTCATGGCCGCCAGCTAAAGCAACAACTACGAGGGCATCGCGGACTCCGTGCCAGTGTTCAGGGTGCGCTGCAATAGAGGCAAGGAGGCGGGCGGCCAGGAGAAATGTGTATTCAAATTCAGATTCAACGAGACTCAGCACCAGCTAGCAGCGATCCTAGGCAACGCTCTCAAGCAGGAGGGAGCTACGCGGAAGATAGGCTCCGCTCCGAGAGGCGCGCTGGAGAGAGAAGTGGGCAGGATGTTGGACTAACCGAAGAGGCCGCGAGTGAGCAGACGGGAGTAGTGCCAGGGCCGCCTCGGGCTAAAACAGCGTTCGAATCGATGGGGGCTGAAATCGGAAAAATCCCGAGGACGATTCCCCGAGTTTTTGCGGCCAGCGCTGGGTTCCGATAGTAAGTGCAGAGCGGCAGGCGCAGAACGCCTATCCAGGACACGCCAGAGTTCTCCAGTTTTCAAGGGCGGAGTTTTCCCGAATACTTCCTGGTACGCTGCCCTCCTCCACCCCCTGAAACGCTCCCAAAAGGGAAGCCGAGAGGGGGGCGAACCCAGGGCAAAGGCCGAGGGCAGCAGGCGAGGGAGCGTCCGTGAGAGCGGGCGCCACCCCGCCTGCAAGCCCCCTGCGTGGGGGAGAGACGACGCGGGAAGGGCCCGAACGTCCCTTGGCGTCAGCTCCCCCAGTCCTAAGTGACCACAGCCAGGTTGAGCAGTTTCGAAGCCTCACAGCGTAGCTCCAGTAGGCGTCACCCCAATCTCGGCCCCAAGGTTCGACCGATCGATCCGCCTCCTGCTTCTCGTCCTCCTCCGCTTCCTCCTCCTCCTCCTGCTGCTGCTGCTCCTCCTCCTCCTCGTCCTCCTCCTGCCTGCCGCCCCTAACGCGCTGCGGCCGGGTGCGGCGGCGCTCGCCCTCGAGGAGGGCGGAAGGTAGGGCGAGCTGAGGCGAAGGCGAGGTCCGACAGGAGGAGGAGGAGGAGGAGGAAGAAGACGAGGAGGAGGAGGAGGAGGAGGAAGAAGAGGAGGGTATCACCGCCGATGCAAGATGCATCGCCGATGGATGTATCGATGATGCGGCGCGACCGTTCAACCCCATCTGCTCCGACCCCATGTAAGAGGCCTCTAGAATTAAGCCGGGCCTGTCCCTCTACAGGAGGAATATTCCAAAAGTGTCAAAAAACGGGTATGGGGACGATGTTCCTATTATTTCCCAACCCTCCTGCGTTGGGTTCTCGTTTTGAATAGAGCACTGCTCGCGCGAACCTTCCCACCCCCTCCCGTCCGTCTCTTCCCCCCTGCCTTTTACCTGGCTCGTCGCTGCGTTTCGAGGGCTGCTGGGGGCTGCGATCTGTGTAACTGTCGCCACTTTCGAGGGCTGCTGGGGGGCCCAGCACAGTGGGCACCCGCGGCGGATTCAAATGGCACCTCGCCATCCCAGGGGGGCTGCAATCTGTGAAACTGTCGCCACTTTCGAGGGCTGCTGGGGGGCCCAGCACAGTGTGCACCCGCGGCGGATTCAAATGGGACCTCGCCATCCCTGGGGGGCTGCGATCTGCTGAGCACACTGTCGCCATCCCTGGGGGGCTGCGATCTGTGAAACTGTCGCCACTTTCGAGGCCTGCTGGGGGGCCCAGCACAGTGGGTACCCACGCGCGGATTCAAATGGGACCTCGCCATCCCTGGGGGGCTGCGATCTGTGAAACTGTCGCCACTTTCGAGGCCTGCTGGGGGGCCCAGCACAGTGGGTACCACGGCGGATTCAAATGGGACCTCGCCATCCCTGGGGGGCTGCGATCTGTGAAACTGTCGCCACTTTCGAGGCCTGCTGGGGGGCCCAGCACAGTGGCCACACGGCGGATTCAAATGGGACCTCGCCATCCCTGGGGGGCTGCGATCTGTGAAACTGTCGCCACTTTCGAGGGCTGCTGGGGGGCCCAGCACAGTGGGTACCCACGGCGGATTCAAATGGGACCTCGCCATCCCTGGGGGGCTGCGATCTGTGAAACTGTCGCCACTTTCGAGGGCTGCTGGGGGGCCCAGCACAGTGGGCACCCGCGGCGGATTCAACTGGGACCTCTCCATCCCTGGGGGCTGCGATCTGTGAAACTGTCGCCACTTTCGAGGCCTGCTGGAAAGCCCAGCACAGTGGGCTTCCCGCACGTCTTTCTCCTGCTCTTCGTTCCCGACTCCCCATGTCCTCTTCGAGCCTGTAGTTGTCGCCCCGCGTTCTTGTATGGTTCTCCTGCGCATCATTCCATTGGCGCGTGTCCCAAGTAGCTTACATATCAAACAACAGATCCTGCAATCTGATTGTCCGTGCAAGTTTCGGCCAACTCCTGGTTTCCCATGATACAAATGGGTTGGGTACGTCACAGGGTAATTTTGACCAGTTTTAAGCTTGATATGGTATTTTTCATTTGTCCTTCAAAATCTGTTTGTACGGGGACCTGATTTTTTCATTTCGTCGACCCCCAGAGGTCTCGACCCATTCCCGTGTCCGGTTTCTCTCCCTGAGTTTTGGACGGTCCCGAGGCCCGGCGAGGGCCCCCAAAGGCCGACAATGGCAAAAAAAATCGCGTCATGATTTTTGTTTACGTCGCTCGGGGGGGTCTGGGTAGGAGGCCTCTAGAACCCATGCGACCCCTCGCCGAGGAGAGCCTCCCGCTGCTGGCCCCCGGCGGCGGCGGGCGCTGAGCCGCGGCCGCGCCTCCGCGGCGGCGGGCGCGGCGAGCAGCGCGGCGGCGCCGCGGCCCGCACGGCGGCGCCGCGGCCCGCACGGCGGCGGCCGCCCGCCGCGCCTCTCTCGGAGGCCCTCCGCCGCGGGGGGCGCGCCGGGGCCTCCTGCCAGCGCCGCACTGCGCTGTCGGCCACCAGCGTCAAGCAGTGGCGAGGCTTCCCGGCTCGCCTATAGGCAAGGGCTTAGAAAATCGGAGGTTGAAAATTAAACCTCCTACCCTGACACGGCGATTAAGGATTTGGCCGTTTTCGGTTCGCGAGAGGGCGTCGCGGCCGTCGTTTTTGCAGGTCCAGGTCCGCCAGTTTCGGTCCTAGGCCGTTTTCACTAATTGCAGGTTTCCTAAAGGGAGGTTTGTCCATCGCCGAAACAAAACACGCTCCTACCCTGGTTTACGAGGCGCTGTGCGCTGAACCTTCTGTTGGCCGTCAGGGTAAGCCCTGCGTATCGCGCGTGTCGCGCGGCGTCCTGTCGACTCCCCGGCTTTTGGGAGCCCCCAGGAGGTTTGCGGACCACTCACTCGTAACCCAGGGTAGAGTCGTTCTTTCATCCCTCAACGTAGGCCCACCAAAGAATGTTCTGAGAACCCTTCTCTGGTGTGCACGAAATGTTATCAGAGCATGTCTGACCAAGGTTGTGTTGCTTTGACACATCTGGTTTCTTTTCTGAGAACATTGCTTTTGTGATTAGAGAATTGTTTGAGGTTCTAAGAGTCTGTCGCGATAGCCTTATAGGAATGCCTGGACGGTCGGTCCTTGCTCGACAGTGCTGCTCTGCAGAGGGGCCCCTATCTGGATCGCCGCGGGGGTTGCTAAGGTGAAAGGGGGATACAGGTGGATGCGAAGGCGGTTTTGTCTAGCCTACTAACCCAGCTAACCCATCTTAGGAGTGGGTTGCACGTGCCCTGAGCGGCTTAAGGGCGCACAGATCTGGGCTAAGTGGGCGGAGCCCACTTGGCGGAGTTACCTCCACATCCCAAGCCACGTAGGGTACGTGTAACCCACTTATCAGTTGGGTTACGCCAGATGAAGCCCACTTTGACATCCACTTCTAATCCCCCATCCCCTCAGCAACCGCGTCGATCCAAGTATCGGGGACCTCGAGACCCAGACCCCCTCGCGTCGTGAAATAGTCACGACGGGAGGTGTTTCACTACTTTCGGCCTCTGGGGACCCTTCCCTGGCCTCGGGAACGTCAAAAAACGACTCAGGGTGAGAAGTTGTTCCCGGGGACTGGGTCTAGACCTCTGGGGGTCGACGCTGCGGAAAAATCACGACGTCGGAAGTCTGGGGACGGGAGTCAGTCAGAGCGCCGGATCTTGCAGGATCCTGCAGGGCCTGACTGGCCCTGGTGCATTGACCCAGGTCAGCAGATCCCCGACCCTAGGCATGTTCGCGTCGTGAAAGAATCAGGGCGGGGAGGTGTTTCGTCGTTTTCGGCCCCTCGGGGCCCTCACCATGCCCCGCGAACGTGAGAAGACGATTCAGGATAAAGCACCAGTCCCAGGGAAGGGTCAGGCCTTCCAGGGGCCCCGAATTGGTGCGGGCACACTGGGATCCCCAGATGGCTGAATGCGATGCTATCGCGGGGGCCTGCGCGCTTGGGCTTGGCCCCCACGCGCCCCCTCGCGTCACTCCTGCCTGGGGTCACGCACGCTCTCAGCCGAAAGAGGAAGCGAAAAACACACCAGGGGGTGCGGGGAAGAAAACACAGCTCGACAAGGACATGCGGGCACACACACACAGGCCCGATCTGTCCTGAGGCGAGGCCATCGAGGCCTCACCTCAACAGGGCTGGCGTGGCCGTTCGGGCCCGACCAGACCCTGGCGCCTGCGGGCGTGTGCTTGTTGGCGCTGCGCGTGTGGGTCTTGGCCTGCGTGCCACTTTGAGCAGCCCGCTGTCTGTCGGCTTCAGCCTTCAGACGCCGGTGCCCTGCTTGCTACACGCACAAAACATACCGTTGGGCACTGGACAGGGCTGTGGTTTCCGCATTCCCGTGTTTTTGTTCCGCACCCACTCGTCCAGGTTGGAGGAACACGGAGTGATGGCGACGACGACGACGACGATGATGATGATGGTGGTGAAGAAGGAAGCATCATAATAATAGCAATCATGATAATATGTTCATGATGGGTGATGATGATGACGATGGCGATGGTGATGATGAGTGAGTTGCCCTTGACCAGAGTGACCTTTTGGTGTGAACCCGCCGGGCTTCCCCGATCGTCGATTGCTGTGAGGTTGCGGCGGGCTGCGCGCTGGGGTTAGGCCTGGCCGCGACCCATAACGCCGCGCACAAGGGTCACTCTTGCATACGGTCCATGATGACGACGACGACGACGATGACGATTACGATGACGATTACGATGGCGATGATGATGATGATGATGATGATGATGATGATGATGATGATTGTCATGATGATGATGATAATGATGATGAGGCTGATGACGATGACGATGATGATGACGATGCCAATGATGACAATGCTGATGATGCCGATGATGATCAAGTCGATGTTGGTGATGATGCTGATGCTGATGCGGATGATGATGTTGCTGCTGCTGATGCAGATGATGCTCATGATGGCGATGTCGATGACGATGACGATGACGATGGTGATGATCATATTGACCATGATAGTGATGAGGATGATGCTGATGATGATTGTGATGATGATGACGATGCTGAGCTGATGCTGATGCTGACGATGATTGTGGTAAGTTTGGCGATGTCAATGGCGATGACGGAAGCGAGGGCAAGCGATGACGATGACGATGACGATGAGGATGGTGATGATGGTGATGATGGTGATCACGATGATGCTGATAATCATGATGATGTTGATGAACTGTGTGATAAGTAGGGTGATGATGATGATGAAGGTGCGAATGATGGTGATGCAGATGCGTTGATGGTGATGATGCTGCTGATGATGATGAAAGTGATGATGATGATAATGATGATGAGCTGCTGCTGCTGCTGCTGATGGCCATGATGATGACGACCGAGACAATGGAGAGTCCGATGACCAGGACGATGTCGATGCCGATGGTGATGACGATGGCAATTACGATGATGCTGATGATGCTGATGCTGATAATGGTGATGATGCGGACGGTGCTGGTGATGATGCTGATGCTGATGATGATGATGTTGTTGCGGCTGCTGCTGATGTTGATGATGCTGATGATGATGATGTTGATGATGATGACGTCATCGTCGTCGTTGCCGTTATCCTCATCGGCATTCGTCATTACCTTGCCTAGCTATGAGAGCATTCCCCTCGATTTTTCAGAGCCCGACGTCTTCGTCCAGACCCTCGGGCCCCCAGACCCTCACAGGTCGATCTGGCTTGCAAAACGGAGCAGAAAGATGTGTCTGGGGCTCAGGTCGTGATTATTCATGACGTTGCAGTTCTTTTGCTACGTCGGATCTCGGGGAGGATCACTCTTGCGTGTGCCCAGAAGCTTGTTTTGCGTAGGATGTTCTGGGGGGACGGGGGTAGCGGGGTTACGTTCAGCGGGGCGGTTGGGTGAGGGGTTTGGGTGGGTCCTGGGCGATTCTAGGGGGCTCAGTATAGCGTTGTGGTGACATGTTGGTGAAGACACTGGTCATGGCGATGACGGTGGTGATGATGGCAACACCGATGATTGTGATTTCGACGGTGGTGATGGTGGCGGTAAAGTTGGTGGTGAGGTGATGGCGATGATGATTGCGATGCTGATGATGATGACAAGTATTAAGGTGGTGATACTGATGGTGCTGATGATGATGCTGCTGCTGATAATGACGACTACTTTAGTGGTGATGATGATGTTGATGACGATAATGATGTTGATGCTGATGAAGGTGATGGTAATGCTGATGATGATGGTGGTTGTGGTGTTATGATGTTGAGTGGGGAGGGCGAAGAGAGGATAGATAAGGAAACGGAGGGCGAAGAAGGGGGATGCGACAGAGATGCGGGCGGGAGCGTGCTTCCTCTTTCCCCCAAGTGCTCCCTCCTCCCTCCTTCTCCTGCTCCTCTCCCCCTGCGCCACCCTCCCCCTGCTCCACCCCTCCTCCTGCTCCACTGCTCCACCCCCCTCTTGCTCCTCTCCTCCTTATCCTCCTGCCCCGCCCTCCTCCCTCTGCTCCCTTCCTCCCCCTTCTTGCTCGTCGTCCGCTCCTCCTCCTCCAGCCCGCTGGAGTAGGACGTGGGAGGAAGGAGAAGGGGGGAGCAAGGGTGGGGGGCGGACCAGGCGGGAGGAGGAGGAGGCAGGAATGAGAAAGAGAGGGGGAAGTGGGAACGATCAAGAAGGAGGGATGATGAAGAAGGGGGGGAGAGGGCGAGGGGGAGGAATGGGAGGACGAACGGGGGGAGGGTAACGAGAGTGGTGTGCGTAGCGTTTCTTCCTGAGGGCCCGCCCCCGCGCGCACCGGTTCCGACCTTCCTCCGCATCGACACTGCGCGCGAGGCCGCGACCGTGAAAAAGTGTGTGTGTGTGTGTGTGTGCGTGTGTGCGTGTGTGTGTGTGTGTTGTGTGCGTGTGCGTGTGTGTGTGTGTGTTGCTCAGCAGTTCAGCGCGAAAGTATAGCAGCATTTTGTTGCAGCCAGCTGGTCTGGCCCGGACCCCGTGGTCGCTTGGCCTTCCCGCATCCCGCCGGCGCCGTGCCGCAGCAATGCCTCACCCACGGCCTCCCTGGAAGCCGCCCGCTTCTGCAGGCTCGCTCGCCACTCCCTGCCTGTAGTGGTTCTTTTGCCCTGGCCAGGAATCTGGCTTCTAATCCCGTTGAGTCTGACTTAATCCCGCGTGATCCAGCTGAATCCCGATTAATCCGCGGCCCAATCTGGCGTGACAGACCCCCAAATGGGGTATTTCTTAATCCTTCGACGAACACTTCCCAGTAGTTGCCTCCTAAGACTTGGCCTGCGCTTTCAGCGCCTGCAGCCTTTACTTCAGCCCTTGGGTGTGGGCGCGTTGCCGCTTCACGCCCGCTGCCAGGTCAACCCCAGCAATGGCGGGTACCGCCCCAGCCACTCGTGCAAGAGCGGAGCGTGCGGTGAGTGCCTTCCTCCCTCCGCCCGCTTTCCGCGGCCACCGTGTCGACAGGCAACTCGCACGCACGCCCTGGGCTACTAGAGCGCGCGTGCGGATTGCCTCTGCCACGCTGCGACGGGTAAAGTGTGTGTGTGTGTGTCTGTGTTTGTGGTTGTGGTTGTGTTTGTATGTGTGTGTGTGTTGTGTTTGCTTGTGTCTTCTGTGCTGTTGTGTTTTTGTGGGTTGTATGTTTGTGTGTTTGCGTGTGTGCTTGTGTTTGTGCTTGTGTTTATGGTAGTGTGTGCTTGTGGTTGTGTGTGTGTCCGTGTTTGTGTTTGTGTTTGTTTGTGTTTGTGTTTGTGTGTTTGTTTGTGATGGTGTTTGTAAGTGTGTGTAGGTGTGTGATTATATGTGTGCTTCTGTGTGTGTTTGTGTTTGTTTTTGTGCGCTTGCGTGCGTGTGTGTGTGTGCGTGTGCGTTTGTGTGTGAGTGCGTGTGTGTGTGTGTGCGTGTGTGCGTGCGTGCGTGTGTATGTGTGTGTGTGTTTGTGTATGCGGGGGGGGGAGCGGGGGAGGGGGTGGGGCGGCCTCTATCCAAACGTCATGATTATCACAATTTTCAGCATTGGCACGAACAGTATCCATTCATGCGTCCGTACCTTCTTATGATGCTTCGCCATCCCTCCTCCATGTCCCAACGCACGTCCCCCATCCCTTCTCCTTCTGATTACGTTACTTGGTTCGTCATGGGCACCATGTCTTCCCTTCTCGCGGTCCCCGGACGCACTGCTCTATCCCATTGTTTTTCCTTCCCATGTTCCCCTCACCTTCCCAATTTCCCCAACCCGCCTCCGTATCTTTTTTTCAATCATTGCCTACCTTTTTCCGTCCCCCCCCCCTTCCCATTCTCCCGGCCCGTTTGGTTCATGTTCACCTTTTTTTGCTCATTCAGCGTCCTCTTCTCTCTCCCTTCCCGCGCTCCACTCCCTCAATGTCGTCATCTGTTTACCTATTCATCCAGCCCCCACGCTCCAACTCCCTCTTTTTCCTTCGCAGTTTCGGGCTTCTGCCCATGCTTGTCAAAATATTCTCCTCTTCTATCCGCAGCTGCTGCGCCTTATCAAGGGGACTCCGCGCGAGGCCGTGTGGAGCAACATGGAGGTGATCGCGCCCCGGTCCACCGCGCCGCGGAGGGAGTTTGCAAAGCATGTGGAGGAGGGCTGCCCCTACCGCGACGACGACGTCATGGCGCCAGAGAAGGAGAGTGTTTTTTGTTGTGAAGCTCCTGGGGAATAGCGGGCGTAACCGATGGGGGGGGGGCCGGTAACGTCGCGTTTTGCGCCAGCCCCGCTTGGGAATTGCTAGGCACAGCCAAAGCCAGTTCGGAGGTCAGCACTAATCGTGACGTCACCTGGGGGCGAAGGAGGGCGGCTGGGGCCAGTAACGGCTGCTGTCGCGAAACATGTAAAAACGTTCCTTAAGGGGGTGTCCACCGGCACGACGATCATGGCGGTCGAGTTCGACGGCGGCGTGGTCCTCGGCGCGGACACGCGCACCTCCACCGGGCAGTACGTCGCGAACCGGGCGTCCAGGAAGATCACGAAGATGGACGAGCGGATCTTCGGGGATCTCCATACGTCGCGTACGCGTAAGAGCGTGCTTCTTTACTGCTTGGGGCATACTGGGCATTACAGCCCCCAGCCCCCCCTCCGGCTTCCCCCCTATAACGTAACGCCCCTCCCCCCCAGTCCGCTCCGGGCACTGCCACCGTGCGCATGGGGCACACGACGGGGGGAGGCGTTACATACCCCCCCCCTGGCCCCCTCCCCCCCCCTTTAATGCCCATGATCGCCGAAAATAAAGAAATGCGCTCCAAGAGTGACCCTTCACCAGAGTGGCCCTTCGTGCGGGACAACACTGGTCCCTCCTGCATAATGAGGCCTGTGCGCTCGCACTTGCCTTCCCCGCAGCCCCCTTAAAAGGCCGCGCGCCACAGGTCACTCCAGTGCTCGACCTCAACGGTGTTTTGTCGATTTCGTGAGCCGTGTTCGTTTTGGTTTCGTTTTCGCAGCAGAGGCAGATTGAAGACGGAGATAGGAAAACGAAGACATAACGAACACATCAGACACTGTTTAGCTCGAGCCATGGGTCACTCTTGCCTCCCAGACCCCCGACGCCGTGATTTTTATCGCAACGTCGGCGCTCAGGGGTCTGGACCCCTTCCCCGGGACCGGTTCTTCATCCTGGGTCTTTTTGTTGATGGTCCCGAGGCTCAGTAGGGGCCCCCGGAAGCCCAAAGTTGCGAAAAACCGGCCGTCGTGATTTTTGTAGCCACATGGCGAGGGGGCCCGGGCAAGGGTCACGCTTCCGTGTAGTCGGAGCACTGCGTGGCGAGTCGGTGCAGATTCGGGGTGGCCGCCCGGCTCTTGGGGCTGCCAGGGCGGGTCTCCGAGGCTGCCTCGGGCGAGAGGGGCGCTTTTTCTCGAGGGCCCCAAGAGAGCCGTGCGGCGAGTGGCCGCGCGGCGAGGTCTTGTTGTCGGGCGGGGCCAGGGCGAGGACAGAGATCCGTGCCGGAGCGTTCCATGCGGAGGCAAACTATGGGAGCCTTGTACGTCTCTTTACTTCCGTCTTCAGCGTCGACTCGCGTCGATGAGCGTGTGGGAGTCGGTGAGATAGCGCCGATGCGTTCCATTCGGAGGCAAACCATGGGAGCCTTGTACGTCTCTTTACTTGCGTCTTCAGCGTCGACTCGCGTCGATGTGAGCGTGTGGGAGTCGATGAGATAGCGCCGATGTAGCGTCGACGTATCGTCGATGTGGCGTCGAGTAGCGTCGGCTCTGCGCCGGCTAGCGCATCCTCACCCGATGTTATCCTCGTCTTGGCTTCGTGTGTATCTCGGGGATTTCGAGGTCGCCGCCCAGTGTGTTACCGAGCCGTTTTTCGGCGGCGAGCTTGGGGGGAAGAGGGAGGGGGCGGGCCTTCTCAGAAGGCTTGGAAGTCCACCAGCCTTCTGAGAGAGGTTTCCTGAGCCTTCCCCGAAGACGCAGGGAACCTCTCGGGAGGCGCGAGGGCTCATGAGAAGCCCCGCCGCCTTCTGACAATCCTGGGATCCGACGTTGGAAAAAATCGCAACCTCGCACAAACATGGGACGTCGCCAACGAAGACGACGACGAGGGAGGGAGGACGACGACGGCGACAACGACGACAACGACGACAACGACGACAACGACGAGGGAGGAGGGAGGGCGGCGACGACGCGAACGACGAAGAAGGAGGAAGGACGGCGACGCCGACGACGACAATGACGCCGGAACCCTGGACCCCGTCTTTCTGCGTCACTCTTCGAGCTGGGTCGAATTTGCGAAAGTCCTGGGGCCCGTAGCGCTATGATCTCAGGGTTCTGAGACGTCCGTCCGAGGAGGGGGAGGAGGAGGAGGAGGAGGAGGAGGAGGAGGAGGAGGAGGAGGAGGAGGCCTTCTGAGAAGGCCTTCTCCTTCTCACTTCCCCCCCGGCCCCGCCACCGAATATCGGTCAAAGTCGGTCCCTGGACCTCTCCCGGGGCCCATCCGACGCGGTTTCTCACCCAGGATCGAGTTCCGGGGGGGCCCGGGGCCCGAAAGCGGCCCCCAGAGGCTGAAAAGGATGAAGCACCGGCTCGAACCTCGAGAATCCCCCCCCTCGCTCGCCGCCGAGTTGCTTCCCACACATGAAGACACGAAGCAACGCTATAAACAGAAACTTTTGGCGCTCCGCGCGGACTTCTTGGATCCGCGCTGCCCCCCCCCCGACGGCGCCTCTGGCGCCGCCCCTGGCGCGCCCCGCGCGCCAGGGAGGGGGGCCCGGCGCAGATCTAAGAAATCCGCGCGGAGCGCCAAAAGTTGCTGGTTGACCCAAACGGGGGTCCAGCTACAAGGGGGTGGTGCAATAGACCAGGTGCAGTGGACTTGTGGGTTGCAATAGATTTGGGACGTGCAAGACATTCGCAAACATGTACTGTGTGACTTTCGCGTGCAATAGAGTAGTTACGGCGCAATGCAATACACATCTCTGGCGCAATACACTTGCAATGCACTTGCCCCAAAGCTATTGCACCACCCCTTTTCAGCTCGACCCACGTTCCCAGACCCCCGACGTCATGATTTTTCAGACCGTCGACCCCCAGAGGTCTAGACCCATTCTCCAGGACCAGTTTCTCATCCTGAGTCGTTGTTTGACTGTCCCGAGGCCAGGCGAGGGCCCCCTGAGGCCGAAACTGGCAGCAAGAGCCTCCCGTCATGATTTGTTGTCATTGCTCGAGGGGACCTGGGTTGGGGTCACCCGAGGAGCTGCTTATCACTCCCCTCCCTCGCTCGCCGCCGAGCTCTGGGAGCCCCCCCCATGAGTCGGGCCGGGCGAGAGGGGGGGATTGGGAAAGGGGGGGTTACGAAATTTGCTGCATGCAGCTGGTTTCGGCCTCACCGAGGGCCCCATTCCTCGATACATGGCCGCCTCCGGCGCAGGGAGGCGCCGGGAGAATCAGCTACGTGAGCTGATTCTCAAACCCCCCCTTTGCTATCCCCCCCTTTTGCCCGACCCGAAGGGACCAGTGTCGGGCCCCGAGACCACACCAGATTGACCCTTGGGCGAGAAAAAAAAGCCTTAAAGGGGTCCTCAAGGGGCCCTGTTGGGGCCTTTCGGGGCCAGGAGGGGTCCAAAAAGGACCCTAAAGGGCACCGTTAGTGTTCTTTTCTTCATCCCCCAATTTGGGCCATCCCCCATTAGCACCCGCCTGACCCGGATGAGGATCTGCGTCTGCCGCTGCGGCAGCGCCGCGGACACGCAGGCCCTCTCGGGCTTCGTGCAGTTCTACCTGGGGCAGCACGCCGTGGAGCTCGGGCGGCCGCCGGCCGTGAAGACGTGCGCGAACCTGTTCAAGATCTTTGCGTACAACAACAAGGACTCCTCCTCCTCCTCCTCGTCCTCCTCCTCCTCCTCCTCGTCCCCCTCCCCCTCCCCCTGCTCCTCCTTCTGCTCCTCCTGCTCCTCCTGCTACTAATTGCCCCCCCCCCCCCCCCCGCCGGGAGGACAGCTCTGAGATCCAGGCGCTGCACATCTGTCCTTCTACGGGTGTTGTCGCCCCGTTTCGGGCCCCCCGGGACCCATACGGACCGATCCGGCCCGGAAAAGGGCGCAACGGGATGGGGTCCGGGGCTCCGATCGTTGTTTTACGATGTTGTTTTCTTGTTCGCAGCGGAGGATCTCAGGGGAGGCACCGAACCCCTACCCTGCGCCCGTTCTCCCTTTTTTGGGGGGCCTCCTGGGAGGCCCTCGCCGCCATCGCTGAATTCGCCTCGAAGCCCTGGTCAGAACGCGCCCCGCGAGAGGTCCGTGGAGTAGTGATCGAGTAGGGGATCGACTACAGAATGGATTTACCCCAAAATTGATTTGTTCGTCGAATCCACGAACGATGCGTGTTATGCTCACAGGTCTACGAACATTAAAATGATGGATTGATATTTGGCAAGAAAATACATTTGGGGATAAATCAATTATGTAGACGATTCCTTACTCGAAGTGGTGTCGGTACCTTCTTGTCTCCTCAGCAAGGACAGGCTCATGGCGGGCATGATCGTCGCCGGCTGGGACGAGAAGAGCGGCGGCCAGGTGTACAACATCCCCCTGGGGGGCTCCCTGATCCGCGTGCCGTTCGCCTGCGACGGCAGCGGCTCCGGCTATATCGCCGGCCTGATGGACAAGACATACAGGTCAGAGCCAAAGATCCGATGCTCCCCAAAAAGAAATGGAGCGGGCGGCTTTTAGCCGTTTTGCGACCTCTGCGGGCCCTCGTCGGGTCTCAGGAGCGTCAAAACACGACTCAGGACGAAAAATTGGTTCCCGGGAAAGGGTCCGGACCTCTGGGGGCCTACGCACCGAAAAAATTGGAGCAGCCATATGTCTGGGGGGCCAGATGAGACAACGGCAGTTGGCATTCGCGGAGGCTCCCTGCGTCGCAACGGCTCGGCGAAGCTCGGGAAGCTGGTGCATCTGGGCCCCGGAAGGGGTCCAGAGCTGCCGTTGTCCAGTGTCGCCCCGCTCCGAGCAGGCCTGGCATGTCGAAGGCCGAGTGCATCGAGTTTGTAGTCAACAGCGTGGCGCACGCGATGGCGCGCGACGGCTCGTCCGGGGGCATGATACGGACGGTGGTGATAACGAAGGACGGCCTCGAGGAGACGCACATGGAGGGCAACAAGCTGCCCTTCGGCCCCTGAGGGCAGGCGAGGCGCGCGTGCGAGGCGCGCTAAAAGCGGGCAGCCCGCTGTTCACCACGACAACCCACGCCGTTGGCCTGGGAGTAGCGGAGTCAGGCTCTCAAGTGGTTCTACTGCGCGCGGCTCCGTGAACAGCGTCCTGCGATAAGGTTGCAATCATGCCTCATTGTCGATCTGTCCTTGTTGGTAAGCCTTCCCCTCGCCCGCTTCCCCCCAATCCCAATTTACCGTTCTTCTGGAAGCCGGTGAGCGTACACATCGTTATCCACACGATCTCCTTTTGATGATCTCTTTCTCTCTCTCTCTCTCTCTATCTCTCTCTCTCTGTGTCTGCTCTCTTTCTCTCTCTCTCTCTATCGTTATTTCTATCCTTCTTTTTTTTTTTCTCTCTCTCTCTCTCTCTTTCACCCCTCCATATTGAGTACGTCATGCCTGCTCCTCCGCATCCACCTCTTCACCTTCCTTCTGCCACGCACCCCTTCTCATCATCGTTGTGCCTCTCCATCTCCGCAGGCTGCCACGATCGACGATGGCATGTTGAGGATGTTTCTCCGCGTTGTCGTCTTCCACCTCCTCATTCCATCCTCCTCCTTGTCATCCTTCTTCTTCTTCTTCCGTCTCTCTGTGACCCCGTCCTGTTCCCCCCGCAACATTGAAATGCTCCACGCCATCTGCTTTCCTGCAGGCTGTGACTCTGCCTTGCGAGGGACGCTGCGCTTGGACCATGTTTTTGAGGGGAGGCGCGGCGGACGTTTCGGACACGGCTCGACCTAAGTCGGGCACGCCCCTCTACGGGAGGATTTTTCAAAAGTAGTAAAGCATACTATGGTGACGCTTCGTTCGATTATTTTTGAACATCTTGGGGTATTTGTTTGACAATGTTTTATTTTTCGTCCAAAATCTTCCTGTAGGAGGACACGCCCGACCTGAACCTAAACTGTGTTTTGGCGATCCCGTGGACAGTTTTCATTTTGATTTCGCTTTCGCAGCAGAGGCGGAGCGAAGACGGAACGGAGGAAACACGAGAGCGGACCGGAAATGGAAAACGCTGTTTAGCTCGAGCCCTGGGTCATTCTTGCCTAGCCTTGAGATCCGACGTTGCGCAAAACATGCAGCATCGCAAATAATCACGACCGGAGCCCCAGACCCAATCAATCTTTCTGCGTCATCTTTCGGGCTGGATCGATCGGTGAGGGCCCCGGGACCCAAAACTGGACGGAAACGCCCGTTGTGAAGAAACTGCGAGGCCAGGATCTCAGGGCCACTCGTGCCTGGGATCACGCTTGCGCGCAGCCGGAGCACCGTGTGGCGAGTCGGTGCAGATTCGGAGGAGAAGGAGGAGGAGGAGGAGCAGCAGGGGGGGAGGAGGAGGAGGATGATGATGAGGAGGAGAAGGAGGAGGAGGGGGGGTGGCCGCCCGGCTCTTGGTGCCAATGGGGCAGGTCTCCGAGGCTGCCTCGGGCGGGAGGGGCACCTCCCACGCAACACGAAAGCGGAGACCTGCGTGCAGGTCGAGCACTGCTGTTCGGGCCGTGTTCGTCGGTTCTCGGCGGTTTGCCACCCTCGGGGTGATCTCTCGGGCGAAGAGAATTATGCACATGCACCGATCCTGGCAAGGCCCATCCTTGACCCAGGATCGGTGCATATGCCTTCCTGGCCAAGGCAGGAGGGCGTATGCACCGATCATGGGCTCAGGATGGGTCTGGCCAGATTCGGTGCATATGCATAGTTCTCTTTCCTCTAATCTCCAGCATCTATGCTTCTCCGGACGAGGAGAGACGAAAGCAAAACGAAACGGAGGGCACTGTTGGGGTCCCAGAGATCCGATGTCGTGATTTGTTCCGTGCGCGGTCCCCAGAAGTCTCGACCCGTTCCCCTGGACCGGTTTTTCATCTTGAGTCGTTTTTTCACGGTCCCGAGGCCCGGCGAGGGCCCCTAGGGGCCGAAATTTGAGAAAAACCTCCGCCTTGATTTTCTCAATGCGTTGGATCTTTGAGGTCGAGCCCCGGCCAACGCCGCTGAGGCCCGGGTTGCCGCCAGCACGCCAGTGTGCGGCCGCGCTCCCGCTCTCGGTCGGCGTGCGGCCCCGTCGTCGGCCGTCGCCTTGCTGGGCAGACTTTCCACCACCACTGCCACAGGTCGCAGAGGGACGAGGGGGAGGAGGAGGAGGAGGAGGAGGAGGAGGAGGAGGAGGAGGAGGAGGAGGAGGAGGAGAATGAGGAGGAGGAGGAGGAGGAGGAGGAGGAGGAGGACGAGTGCAAGCCCAGGACTCATCGACGATGTTGAGATACAGCCTCCCTCCAAGATCCCTCTTCAGAGGTCCCTACAAGGCTCCATTTCCACTGAGAGACTCTCGCCGTGGGTGGGGACAAGCTTGTGAACATCTTGAAGCGTGCCAAGAGACCATTCTCAGGATTTCAACGCCACGAGCGAACCTGACTGTTACGTCTTGGCGATCCTGAGTCGCGCCAGAACACCATTCCTACAACATATTTAGGACTTCAACACCCACGAATCAAATTCACTGCTGCACGCTGACAATCCGTAACCGATTAAAAATTCAGGTATTACAACAAGGAGGACCAATGGAAGTCTTGCACATGTGTAAAATCGAATGTGTGCGGCGCCAAGGCGAGATCCACATTTTGAACAGGAGCCGCCCTCATCCCGTGAAGTCTTACAGTGTTTGAGGACGAATGCGCGCGGCGCTAGGGCGAGAACCACACTTTGGAAACCACTCGCCCTGAATCCGTGAAGCTGTTGTTGCAATTTGTTCATAACGAATGTGCGCGGTGCTAAGACAATGTGCGCGGCGATATGGCGAGAGGCACATTTTGAAAACGGCCCTCCCTCAATCCGTGAAGTTCTTGCAAATTGTAAAACGAATGGGCGCGGCTCTTGGGCGAGAGCCACATTTTGAAAACGAACGGCCCTCAATCCGTGAAGCTTCTGCAACTTGTTAAAAACGAATGAATCTGCGCGGCGCTGCGACGAGAGCCACAGTTTGAAAACCACCTGCCCTCAATCCGTGAGACATAAAGTCGGATGATCGCGGCGCTGAGGCGAGAGCCACATTTGGAAAACGACCCGCCCTCGATCCGTGAAGCATTTGCTGCAGATTTTTCAAGCGAAGGTGCGCGGCGCTGAGACGAGCGTTACGTTTGGAAACGGCCCAACCCCACGCCGAACAATTATTTGATGTTGATTGAAGCGAGTGCGCGCGGCGCTAAGGCGGGAGCCACGTTTGAAAAACCACCCGCCGTCAATCCGTGAAAGTCTTGCAATATGTTACAACGAAGGTGCGCGGCGTTAAGGAGAGAGCCACACTTTGAAAACGGCCCGCCCTCAAGCCGTGAAACTCGTACATTTATTACAACGAATGCGCGCGGCGCTAAGGTGAGAGCCACATCTGGAAAAGACCCGCCCTCAATCCTTGGAATTATTTGAACTGTTTGCGGCGCTTTCAGGCGGGAGCCACATTTGGAAAACCACCTGCCCTCAATCCGTGAAGCCCTTGCAATTTGTTACAGCGAAGGTGCGCAGCGCTAAGGGGAGAGCCACATTTGGACAATTATCCGCCCTCAATCCGTGAAACATGTGTTGCAAATTGTTACAACGAATACGCGCGGTACTAAGGCGAGAGCTACATTTTGGAAGCGGCCCGCCCTCCATCTGTGAAACTGTTTGCCACGTTTAGGCGCCAGGGTCATGCATGGGGGGGAATCTCAGGTGAAACGCCCGGCCCGCCCTTTCGACCGTCCCGGGGGTGGGACAGAGAGGAGTTATCTTCAAGGAAAAGGAATGGAGGAGGAGGAGGAGGATGAGGAAGAGGAGGAGGAGGAGCACGAGGAGGAGGAGATGGAGGAGGAGCAGGAGAGGGAGGAGGAGACGGAGAAGGAGGAGCACGAGGAGGAGGAGAAGGAGGAGAAGAAAGGGAGGAGAAGGGAAGGAGGAGGAGGAGGAGGAGAAGGAGGAGGAGGAGGAGGACCTCCCCATCCTCCCTTCTCCCCCGTCCAACCTATGGCAGTGGTGGAATATCTGCCATCATGTCTGTTCTGTTGTCCTCTCGTTCCCCGCCCTGCCCTCCAAATTCTACCAAAAGGACACGGTGCGCGTCGTCTGGCAACGCTGGCCTCGGGGGCGGGCCAGACACAAACCAAAGGAATGATGTTGGCGATGAGGGGAAGCACACATCAAATGATTGATCAGCGAAGGGCAACACAGAACATCACATAGAAACGCTCACAGCTGCCTGGAGCGAGACACCTCGACGGCGGAGGCATTGGCGGACCAGCCCGAATCCACGAGGCGAGCGTCGTGAAGGAGGCGGCCCAAGCACATACCTCGCGCGTGAACGCAATCAGGTGCACGTGATGTGGCCGCGTGGTCGGCCTGAGAACGTTGCGAACCGCGTTGGGCCTTTGTGCCCTCACGCATACGCTTAGGAACATTTGCATGATGGGGCCGCCGCCGCGACACGCTAAGCGAAAGCTCCCGACCATAAAACTCAAGGGGACGACCGACCACGAATGCCACTTCTGGGTCCAAAACCTGGATAGCAGGGCGCCTGAAGGGCGTGGACAGGCCTGGCGAAGAACTCTGGAAGGACCTGGTGAGAGCGTCCGAAGGACCTGGAGAGCTTGCGGGCACGCGCATTGGGAAACGCACAGAAAAGGCCTCTCGGGACGCGTTTCCGGTTCACGCAACCCCCGCCGAGGTGTCTAGATGAAAGCTGGGGCGATCTCCGGGGCTACCCTGCGGCTCCAGCTTCTTAATCTGAAGCCGTTTCAGTTCTCTCCGAGCTATCCGGGAATAACGCCGCCGCTGTAGTTGCAGGTTTAATTTTTTCTGCAAGCAGAGGAGGAGCCGGCAGGTCCCAGTTGCAGCGAACGAGAACGGTGATGATGGCCCGGCGCGCCCTACCGTAATGTCAGTGCGCCGCGCAGGCGCAGCGCACTGGAATTATGGTGGGGCGCGCTGGGCCACTTTCGACTGCTAGCGCAGCGCCTGCCAGTAGACCAGGGCAAGGAGGCTGGGGACAGGAGGCGAGGCAGGCGGAGGTGTAGGAGGATCGGCGGCGGGCCTGGGGGGGGGAAGTCTGAGAGGGGGCTGGCCTGTTCCGAAGGCGGCGGGGCGGCTCGGAGGACTGCGCGCGCCTTCTGAGGAGCGCTCGCCGCCAGAGCTGTCCTGCCCCGCCCCCGTTCTGGGGCAGCGTCCAACAAATGATGCGAAAGGCTTGGGTTCGACCTGGGAGGCTTTCTCGG